GGGTGAAACAGAAACACTCAGACTTTCCTCCCCATTGTGTTACAACTAAGAACACAGGTCTGTTACACGTTCCCATTTTGTTCTTTAACAACAGAAAAATGAAATTATGTTCTGAAAAAAAAATAAAATGTTTTAAAAAAAGGAAAATGATTATACCCTTTACGATACCAGTGAACAGAGGACAGTGTGATATTGAGTTAAAAAAAAAAAAAACATGCAAAAAAATGATTGTGGGCGTTCGTTAATTTCTGTGTTCTAATTGGTAGGTCAGGCAAAGGGAATGGTCATAAAATAACCTACTTATGTATATGTATATAAAGAGGTGTGGACTCGAGTCGCATGACTTGGACTCGAGTCAGACTCGAGTCATCAATTTGATCAATTTGATTTCGACTCGACTTGACAAAATGTAAAGACTCGACTTGGACTTTAACGTCAATAACTCGTGACTTCACTTGGACTCGAGCCCTTTGACTCGACGAGACCCGATACTTTCTCCAAAACCCAAAGTGATCTGTGTAAATATATATTATTTACGCCCCGAGTCCTTAGAAACGTAAGGACTCGGGACTTGACTTGACACTTTTTAGTCCTGACTTGAGACTTGACTCGGACTTGAGTGCAAAGACTTGAGACTTACTTATGACTTGCAAAGCAAGGACTTGGTCCCACCTCTGACATGTTATATATGTGTATGTAATGCATTGACTGCTGCTGACTGTTCAGATTTACTACAACTTCTTCAAATTTCTGGAATGTAAACAGAAATGGGGAAAATGGCACTGTAGAGTGATGGCTTTTTTTGAAATCGTATGATATCATTTACCTAACAAAAAAAAAAAACTTGAACGCTACGTGTCACGGGGAGATTGTGCCACTTACCTTGAGATGGTACACATTGCCCTGTGCCCTCATCACCAGTTCGCTAGCTGGAATTGACTGACCACATGCACTGCACGCTCCACTGTTTCCAAATAATCTGTAAGAATGAAAAGAAAGGCAACAAGTGGCAGAATTGTTATTAAATTATAGAATTGATTTCATATAAATTATATATCATTTACACTTCTGCCTTTTACCCTGCAATACCCGTGTTTCCCCAATAGACGGTGTGGAAAATGATACACGAATTTTAGCATTTTAGCCTTTATGCATGACTTTTACATGTCATTTATCTTAGTGCACACGAACGCTGTTCACTTTTTGGACAATTGTGGCCCGCGAGTCAAAAAGGTTTGCTGTTGAGGCTGGCCAGAAAATGTACGGTGTTGTCATCTTTTCAGTGACTTCAGGTCAGCGCAGAGATGACATAGTAAGCTGGTGGTTGGAATACAGACGTTCAAGGGCACGAAGAAGAGGGCAAACATAGGAAAAGTAACACAGTCAGAGAGATATGAGGCAAATAAAGAAGAATTATGTCAGGCTTGATAAGAGACTGAGAGAGCGGTAAAAAAAAAAAGAAGGGGGATTTTGACGAGTTGTATGGAAGATACACACTTAGAGGGAAGGATTTTTTTACTGATGAATGTTCAACAAGTCAGCTTAGTTAAGGATGGTAAAAAAAAAACAAAAAAGTGCCAGTCAGTGAGGACAGAGGGATGGTTGCATAGACAGACAGACAGACAGACAGATAAGCAGCAGTTTGGTTTTATGCCTGGGAAAAGTACTACAGAGGCATTTGTTTTGCTTTGAGAGTGATAGTAGGAAAGATTATTGAAGGTCAGAAGGAGGTGAACTGTGTCTTTGTGAATTTAGAAAAAGGCTTATAATCGCGTGCTTAGACAGGAACTGTGGTACTGTATGAGACACTCAGGAGTGGCAGAGAAGTACTGCAGGATTCCACTTAGGTGTGTTGACGGTGCTACAGATGAGTTCACGGTAAGGGCGGGAGTTTGATATGGTGAGGGACTGGTTGAAAGATAACGTCAGCCAGGAGACTCCGTGAACCATGATGTTTGAAGAAGAACTGTAATATGTGGGTGAGAACAGAGAGCAGAGGGTTGAAAACTTGGAGAGCTGGATTGTTGTCTTATATATACATACATATATATACATACATATATATACATACATACATATATACATACATACATATATATATACATACATATACATATATACAGTGCAGCTTTGAGATACAAGTTTAATCCGTTCCACAACAGCACTCATATGTCAGTAACTAAAAACCAATTAATTTGAAATATTAATAATTAATTTAATAATAATTAAATTAATATCCCCCATCTAAACATAAAAAAACAAAGATATAAACAAATATATAGATAATATAAAATAATAACTAAGAAACCATTTTTTATTACCGTTGTTAAAATGGGTAAAATAACCAAACGAGGGACAGTGAGCGAGGCAGCACGTAGGGTTGTTGCCACTAAGCGTAGGAGGACTGGGAGTGAGGACTCGTTTTAGATTAGAGAAAGAGAGAGAGAGAGAGAGAGAGAGAGGTAGAGAAAAGAGAGAAATAAAGCGATAGGTAAAATAACCAAGCGCAAGACAGTGAGCGAGACAAATGGAGCTCGGTTGAGCGCTCGTAACTCGAAAATCTTGCAAAAGTTGCTTACTCGTAACTTGGAAAAAAACTCGTTTTTCTGGCGGCCGCTTTTTCTGTGACAATTTAAGGCACTTTGCTTCAGAACATACACTTATTTACGCACACACAGAGGTAACCCAGAGAAACAACAACAACATGAGGAAGATGGGAGGGGGAAAGGCCAACTCACTCCAGTCTTAAAGGTACAATGCCAATTAAATTCAACCCTAATTTGTAACATAAAGCTGTCTTCCTTGTCGGAATGATGGAACAAGACTTTCTCAATAAATGCGTCCAAAGTAACAGGCAGGTTGATGACTCCGTAAATTGGGAACCCCTTGACCTTAATATGGACGGAGGTACATTTTTGGTACAAAAAGAAATGCGGTCACAAAAACATGAAAATGAGTAACACCATACGGCCACGTGTCTGTCCAAATTAAAGCAAACAGGCGCTCCACAAGATCAATTTCTTGCTCAATCGCTCCGTCTTTGCACTTGCCACAGCAGCAAATTTTAGCAGGCTAATGATAACCTTGAGCACAAGTAATCAGGAGCAAAGAGGATGGTCCGTCAGTGGCGTTTCCATTTACAGGCCCAGAGCTACTTGTGCTTGATATACAACGTGCACGAGTTAACCTTTTCAATCACGGCGTCAACACGTTGGATTTGCTTCTGCTCAAGGTTCTACTCTACTCTTCCCTTCCCTTCCCTAACCCCCACCTCTCTCGCTCTGTCTCTCCCGTCCCTCCCTCCCTCTCTCCCCCACCCTTTCTTGATAATGAAATGCTTGCTCCGGCTTCACTTCTATCTTCTAAGTCCACAATTTAGATTACTTCATCTCGGTGAGCAGCAAACTGAATGAAATTTCGATTTTAGCAGAAAGTAATTTACTGGGATCTGGACCCATTTGTCATCATATCTCACTGGGTGTTTGCTCTATCACTGCACTTTTCCTAAGCAATCAAATAAGACCGGAGCATCTGACATGCTCTAGAGAGAACGAGAGGGAGGGATGGATAAAAAGAAATGGAAGAGGGAAGGGAGGGGTATATCACCGGTGTGCGTTTGTGTATCAGATAACGTTGTTTGTGGCTGGGGGAAAAAAAATAATAATAAAAGATAGCGGAAGAAAAACATTCGTTTTAAGATTTTAGGAAGAATCTGTTTCAGCTTCGCAGGGCGCCTGGCAAAATGTATAGACAAATCAAACACACCGTGCAGCTCTTTTCTTAATTGCATGACGTTGTTTGATTGATAATATGTTTTTCTAGCGTGTAACACGTTACAACTTTAAACAATTTGTTTGGCGCCCAAACACCAAAGCCATTCAGTCATGCTGTCAATGAGGTCATAAAACCTTAAGTGGGATCAAGGCTAACTAGATGTGTGTTGTGCCACTGTGAGCGTAACTTGTCACCTCAACGCTCTCAATAGAATGTAGAGGCTTAAAAAAAAAAAATCAAAGGCACATAAACACTGCGTGCTCTTTAGTGCTAATGCTATAATTGAAATTACCTTTGATATTAAACAAGCAAGAAATCCTTTGATGTCACGTCTGTCAAAGGCAAAAGGACAAGAAAAGTGTCGGTGGAAGTATGAAACAGGTAGATGGAGATCAAAAGAGAGAGAGACAGGAGAGAGAGAGAGAGAGAAAACTGAAGAAATGATATTGTAAGTCAAAGATGGTGCTGCAAAAACACAAAGCCTGAAACTGTTTTGAAATTTGATCATTGAGACCGCAGTTTTATTCTTACTGATCGAATTAAAAACGCACATTAATAGACAATTTCAATTAGCGATGGCTAGATCCGATACTCAGGCTCCATGTTGCTCTAGCATTGGTCAAAATCTGGAGGAGCCCGCCTGATCAGATACCCGACTATACCCAACAGATACTCAAGGAGCTGTAACTTAAGCCCAAGTGCTCAACTTAACTTGTGCGACATGCGGTAAACAGGGATACTATCGCCATAGCAGCGGTAACGGAATTGGTATTGGTATCGCTGTATAATCTAATTTAAATGATCAGTCTACAGTGACAACAAGGCTGAGGGGCAGCGGTGGCTCAGTGGTCGAGAAAGCGGACTTGGGTCTGGAAAAGCTCCATGTTCGAGTCCGACAGCTGCCAAGGTGCTCTGAGCGTGGCACTTCTTCTTCCACTTTGCTTAAAAGCAGAGTTCACATTTCACTGTGTGCAGCGGTGCGCGGTGTCACAATCACAAGTAATTCACTTTCCTTTCCTTAATGCTATATATATATATATATAAAGTGGAAATTTGACACACAAAAGCCACAAAATTGTAATTGGAAACGTGGCAATCATTTCGTGAGCCCAGCTGTAGAGACATTTTTGTCAAACATTTCATTTAGACATCAAGGTGCAATATTCATTTCCATAAAAAAAAAAAAAAGATACTGTTGCTATGTAAAAACAAGAGGAACCATAAGTATGTAGTAATACTACTACATACTGCGTGCAACAATACTGTCAGATATGTATACGAACAGCAAGACAGGATTTAGATATTTACACAGAGTAACTGTGAAGGATGATTGAAGTAAACCCCATCAATGAAATGACTGTGACAGCATTTCATTCTGAGACCGCGGTTTACAAGATGGTAGAGAGACCAGACGTTATGTATAGTTTGTAGGTATGAGTTGCACGTCTTGAAGACAGGAGACTATACTGAAGGTTGCAGAGTTGAAATGATTTCTTTTAAGGGTGACTAAAAGAGATATGATTAAAAATAAAGTGCAGTCTGAAAAAAAAAAAAAAAAAAATTATTTTTCTAGTTTAAGCTACATGGCAGGTAGTAAAAGAGGAAGGCCCAAGAGGAAGAAATGTAAGACATGCAGATGGTTGTTGAACACAATAGGAGAAAATAGAGAGAGGAATATGCATAAAAAAATGCTCTAATTTTTACAATATTCATATATGTAGATTATGTTAGGCATATGTTGGGAAAAAAAGGTACAGAAGCCTATTTGTTGCCCAAGTGAGTGCATGAGAATTAAGCTTTTATACTGCTTGGGACTGTGACTCCAATTAGGCCTCCTTTACCAACGAAGTACAGTACGAGTCAGTATAATTAAGGTCACGGAATTATTTCATTTCGATGACAACGCCATTTTTGTTTGTTTCCTTCTAAGGTGAAAAATCAATCACGTTTGATTAAATTTTTTTAAAAAAAAGTGAGAATAAATAAATAAAAACACTACAAGAGCGAGTTTAACCCTTCCGTTTAGGTAATGACTATTGGATTTAATTTTAGTAATGTCTGCCTGGTAAATAAAAAAAAAATATATATATATAGTGTGGTAAAAAAAGGCTGTCTGCTATTAACGCTTTTGTTTGCCTCACCAAAAGCCCTTTTTGGTGGGGTAAAATGACCCCCCAGAACAATGATATGTGCAACACAGTCCATTAAAAACACCTCTTCACAGCAGCAGCAAATGCACTTTTAAAAGCATGAGGGTCCTATTGATACTGAAGCACAGCTTTTTTTTTTCTTTTTTTTTAAAGTAATGGATCTGAATTAAAAGAGAGGAAGAAGAAATGATAGGGCGCAATGTTATGAGATGGGGATGGCAAAAAATGAGGACAGGCTAGGGACGATCTGTTTAGTGGATCAGATTTTCATGCGTTTAATACAGCGAAAACGGAACCAAATCTGGACCATCGCTCAATTGCAGGCCTTTAATAAATTCTCTTAGAACCATTCCAGCAGAGTTTAACAGCCTCTTAACTTGGATGTGGAATTATTGTTTTATAATATCAGAATTTTTTTTTTAATTATAACTCTGTCTTTAATAGTTCACGTTCTGTCATTCTGTCCAAGTGTGAAGACTTCAAAATGATTTTACGTGGCCAACTATTAAGAGTTACTTACTGGTTAAGTGCTAGGTAATTACATTGTCGTATCTAATTAAGAAGACAATTGGTATTACTATATCTAGCAGCTACAACAGGTCGGTTGTCGGTTCCGAAGTGTAGTGGTTAGTGCGCCTGCCTCTGGAGCAGAGAGTCCTGGATTCCGATTCCCGGAGAAACCACATGCTTGGCGCCTGCTGCGGGCAGACTGTTAACAAAATATCTGCTGTTAACACAAGGATTTCCAAAAATATAAGATCAATAAAGTTCTCTCTCTTTTTTTTAACAAGTAAATGAATTTCCGCTAAACAAGGAGTTAGCTTTAGCAGCCAGCAACATTAATACTTAAAGCCTTAAGGTGGTAAAAATATTTCTTGAACTTTTTATTTTTAAATTTCGTAGATTTCAATGAAACCTTTTAGCAATGACCAAGACAAATGTGTTGCTTTTGACTTTATTTTTTTTTTTTTTTTTTTTTTGGGTCTCAAATATTTAGACATCTGCAGAGCGGTTAAATTATTTGTTAATGGTAAATCAGTGATCTCACAGTCAATGAAAATGAATAAGTTGACGTTCTGTTTTTTAAATGAACACAGGGATTTTAGAAAGTGCGACTGAAGACACAGCTCAGGGGTGGCGGGTAAAAGGTAAAATCGGTACAAACTTTAAATCACATCATGTAGAACCGTGTCCAGCCTGATCGCAAGCTTTAATGCAGCGCCTGTCTCTTTCGATGCGCCTGTCTCGAACAATTTTAACTTTATCGATGCAGCACATGGGAAATTCCTGTGTAAACAGCTGATCTGCTGCAACACGCTGCCCCCTGCAGGCACCACGTACTGCATGTGGTTCCTCTGGGAATCAAACCAGGACTACCTGACTCTCTGCTAACCGCTACACTATAGAAGCACTTCAGCCAGAATTACTTAACTTGGGATTTGACCAGCAGCAAGATATGTTGTAGTTGTAAAATATCTTGTTTTAACTGATCTCATTTTTTTAATTTTTTTTTTTTCTTATAAAGGTTGTTAAGACAATCATGCAATGATGCACAAGGCTAGAAGATTGGAGAGATGTCGTGACCTAATGACAAATCCTCAAACAGTAGCTGACCTATTTGTTGAGGCTGCCCAGAAATAGTTGGTAGTTCAGTAAAGAAAGAGCAAAGCCCTTACAATGACTTCTCAAGTAAGGCCCTACCCTCAAATCACAGTGAGACAAGGGCTGAAACTGTCTCTAAAGCGTCCTTCAGGCCAGACAGAGCACAGAGACTGTAAGGGACTAATATATAGGAATACACAGGTGAGATTTTTTTTTTTTTTTTTTGGGTTTTAAACAATAAGAAAAAGCAAACAAGCCGTTAGTACATTTCAACAGAAAGAAAACTTGGTGTGACCTTGAGTTCTTAAAAAAACCTGTTTTATCGATAGCTTATTTAGATTAGTAAAGCCACTTTACTTATGAACCATTTTTAAGATGGACAACATCATGAACCCATGTTTGTAATATTTATAACAAAATTCTCTCTCTTTTATTTTCCTCTTCATCGTACTCTATTGTCACACCCTCCCCTCCTCACTTTTCAACTCAGTTTAGTTAATTAAATGTTTTGTTGAGCAGTGTGGGGCTGTCATTCACTTTCGGACAACATCACTCGGAGCTAAGAGACAAGCCAGGAACCAGATCTCATTAGATGTAACCCATCAGGACTAAAGAAAATGGCAGAAGCGGGCGGGGTGGTGGTGGGGGCTATAATTAAAGCATTTAATTGTGTAGACTTACTGTCAGACAAGTCGCCCCCTCCATCCATCCTCCCGACTGCCCCCGCGGGTCTCATCTCAATCTCCGCATTCATCTCGTGCCTTCATAACGTAGCTGTTTAGCTCTTTCACTGCGTGTGCTCTCATTACGACTGGGTTTGTGTATCTATGTTCTTCACTCTCCTCCCGGGCCTAATTTTAATTATATCATAGGCCCATTATGAATAAAGCACTGCTGTTGACTTCAGCGTTTTTAATGACTTCCTGTCGAGACGACGCAAACGTGTTTTCAATCCAACTTGTGCAACCAACTTGGAGCTTACTCGTCTCCGCTTTGAACTATTTTGGTTACATTATTTCTCCGGATTTTTACACTAATATAAGCAAAAAAGATTGGGTCAGGTATTCGGAGTGAAAGGCTCCCTCAACATTTTCCACTCAAGTTTTGCAAAAATGAACAGCAGTCCCACTTCAAATTGTGAGCTCACCTGATGTAGTCATTTCTGCACAGGATCATGCCGCTTTTGGTGAAGCATGACGTGCCAATTTCGCCGAGCTGGGCCTGACAGCAGGAGCATTTTAGACAACGGCTGTGCCAGTAGCTGTCCATGGTGTAGAGTAGGAAGCGGTCCACAATTTTAGCCCCACATCCTGCACACCGCTTCCAAGATAGAGGGCCTGTTCCGACTGGCGGTGGCTGGTTACTAGCACTGCCTCCTGGATTTACCATTGTCCCTAAAAAAAAAAAAAAAAAATACACAACGGTAGGTGTAGGTTAAGTGGCTGATACAGGTAGATGATAAAGAGGCTTATTTTCTTCATATTAAATGGCTGTAAAATAAGCGAAAAAATACTATTACTATACTATTTATATTAATATTATACTATATTATACATCTTTGTTACTGCTTTTTTAAATAACAGATTTAGCATGTAATAGGAACAGTACATATGCCTGTATATTTTCCTTTATTGGTAACACATATGTCCAGTTATGCACAAAAAAATAATGACATACGTCTGTTTTACTTGGGGGAAAAAAAAAAGCTCTCATTAATTAGACTTGCAAAAGACTCTACCATTCTCTAACTTTGCTTGTAAGGAACCACTGTGTTGAGCATTAGTGAAATGCAGCATCGTGGCCTTATAATAACATTACAGGCCCAACTGCAGACAGTAGAAGACCTCAGGGAAGGACAAGCAATGTGCAATGCAATGCGACTGGTGCCTTGAACTCCTCTTTGAAGCACTGTTGCTATCATATCCTCTATGGCTGCTACAGCTCTGGTCAATGAGGAAACATTTCATAACTTAATATTATTGATTAAATTTTTTTTTTCTCAAATTAATTACCAACTTTATTTTTCTATAAAGGAAGCAATGCCCTTACTGACACAATCATTTCTCACCAGGGTTGAGAATTGGGGACTAGGTGATAGGCCTGGGATGATAATCAATAAATCCATTGATCGCATGATAAATAAAAAAAAATGAAATCAACAATTTTGTCGGCCTTGATACATTGCCATGTGCCTATGGTTTTCCTCGTCTTTCCGTCCAACATGCATTCACACAAATTCCCAGCGTTTGATAATTGGCTAGCAATCCCTTGTTATGAACATCGACTGCGAAACAATAAAATGATTTCCAGATTGATTTCTCTCAAAGTTGGAAATCAACACTGTCATTGCCTTGTTTTGGAGCTAGCCAAGGGAAGCGAGATGACTCTGTTGTGTCTAATTCAATTAGCCTACAGTGTAGTGTAGAAATTGATATGAAATGTTGAATTTCAAAAAAATATCTTTAATGAAAAGCACCAAGGCATGATGAATATGATTCAGCCAATTTGTGGTCTCAAAAATAGCAAATATATGTTGCTTGTATGTCACTTATATTAATCGGGGCTCTGGAAATGTAAAACATTTAAAAGTGTTCACAGAAACTAGGACACTTTTGCTGTTTTGTAATGGAAGGAAAATGTGAACCTAAACAAAAACAATTTAAAAAATAACCGTTGTTTATTCCAACTTTTCTGGTCTAACTTTTCATAGTTCTTTTTTTCTTTTGAAACAATAACTTTATATATGCATAGTATATATATATTGTAATTATTTTTGATGAATAACCAAGGCATCTATGGGCCCTCCGACTGTGTGAAACATATTCCAAAGAAGAAGCTTTGTTCTAAAGCAGAAGTGACAAATGAGGAGGATTTGTGTGCATGGTACTTTTGTCGGTTTTCAGGGATAATTTTTTTGAAAGCTTACAAATAGCTAAAAAGGAGCTCATTCGTTAAAGAAAAAAAAAATTGAAATATATTTAACTTCGCTAATAATCCTGGTTATTTGTCAATTTAAGAAATATCGCATACCAACTATTTTAAATTGTGTAGTACATGTTTTCAGAGTTTATCTATAGTGTTATGAAAAAAAAAGCAGGACTTTTAAATCTAGAATTTTGTTTTAAAAAATGATCTGTTTTGTTCAGGGGATAAAAGAAAAAAAAAATGCAGTTAATACGACATGGAAAATTTCCAAAGAGCACAATGCAATATGGTCTAACTTTTGTTATTTATTGTGTTTAATATTTCCGTTATTTTGTTAAAGAGTAAAAATTATTCTCCTATTATTTAAGTCTATAAAACAACTGACAATTTTGTGGCGCTTTGGCCCAGAGGCAATGTCTCTTTCATTGGTGTGGAACCCCTCGATTCACCTCCTGGGCAAGATCCGGTTAGATTGGTACCTTGGCGGTGTGAATTGGGTAGCGGTCATGGAGACTGCTGACCCCCGTGACCCGGTAACGGATAAATGAATGGATGGAACTGAAAATTTCGCCAAGGAAATCACATAACCTGCTTTTTTAGTTTTCCATGTATGGTTAGGGTGTCAGCCTTATCTTACTTCAGGTTGGTTAGAATTACCACTATTTAGGCATGGCCAAAGCCAAACGTTTATTAAAGACTAGTTAGTTAGAATGTGTGTACAGGGGTGGGTGGGTGGGGCGTAGGGAGGAGGGACATACTCAAACACATAAACACATGCACTGAGACCATTAGTGAAGGCTCTCAGAGACGAACCTCGGCTCGACTGATTAAATCTGAAAAGCACACGAATCGCGAAAAAGGGGAGAAGGGGAGCTGAAAATGACTCCCTGGATAAACAAGAGGGAACATTATTAAGTTTCATTTACCAACCACAGACGGAGAGAAGGTGGGGGTGGGCATTCACTGAAAATGGACAAACTTGTGTGCATTCAATTAAACGGGCAGATGTCGCAGTCCAAAACAATGTCTAATTTTTTTTTTTACCATTGTATGTGTCTTTTGTCCTGCATTCCTTTTCGTGTCTCCTATACCTGCCCCTTTTACTCAATCCACCAAAATGTCTCTGTGCTCACCTACTCCTCTGTGTACTTTACTTGCTCTGTACTTCTCTGTACCTTGTTCTGGCCAACCTGTGAAAAGTTGCTCATTGGTTCAATCCCTGATGCTTACTGATGGTCTTTCTGGTATTTCTGGGGTTTTATGGTTTTTTCCCCCTGTATGTTTCCTTCATGCATAGGTTCAAATCACGCAGGTGTGGGTAACACGACTCTCTAAATTGAGCATAGGTATGAGTAACGATTGTGTTTGTTTTTCGCCTCCATACATGTCCAGATATACAGTCCCTCATATTTGTACACGTTTTTTTTTAAAATTTGTCTACTGTTCTTTCTTTTATTTTCGCCCCTAACAACTATCTTGTATCCATACTGCCCTTTTTTTCGTGTTCTTCTCCCTATACAATAACATTATTCCTGTTCTCTTGTTTATTGCAATGTCTATTTACTATCGTTTCTTATGTCTTCATCTTGTCACATCTTAACCAATGTCTCTTTTCCGGCGTCTTCTACCTCGTCCTGCTGCCCTGCTGTCTCGTGTTGTGACGAAATTTCCACAATTCTATGTCTTCTTTCCTTTTGTCTACCATCTTTAATTGATTATTTTGTGTCCGTGTTCACTGTTTACAGGCTCCTTTCAATATCAGAAACAAACCATCATTCTGTTCCGATAAACAGGCTCGTGCCAACACGACATAAGATACCGAAGATACCAGCATAACACCACAGAAACGCAGGCAGAATGTGAATTAACTTGCTTTAAAATAACTGTAAATCATCCAACAGGAACATTACTCACCTTGCGTATTGACCCAAAGCTTCCTGGATGTGAAGTTCAACACTATCCGTGAGAAATAGCGACGACTGCAAACTGCCTCTGTCTCTTTCCAAACAACCGTACACACACCGACACCAACACAAACTCACAAATGCACTAACGCTGCGTGGTCCGCGGGCTACTCCAGCTCCGTGCGCGTCTGGTGCTCGTGTTTCAAAAAGAAAGGAGCAAATGGAGTTATCAGATTGTATTTCCACAGTGGACGCGTCCTCGCCGTCTCACTGTTGCTGCTTCACAGAGCGGACTGTTTTGCGCAACAAAACAACTCCATTGTGTGCACGAGCCCTACGCAGGTGTCTCCGTCCAAAACCCGCTGTCGACGCGGTTTCAAGTCTTTTTAAAAGCTGGGGCCAGTCTTTTCATTGCTCCTCTCGGTGTGCGTGAGTACGTGTACGGCTGACATGAAGAAAAACCTTCAGTAAAGTAAAACATGGGAGGAAGGGGAAACAGGCATTTAGCCGCCTGACGAAGGCGACAGTGCAGCCAATCAGCGCCTGGTGTGTTGAAGCGGAATATGAACTGCAGCCAATGGCTACGGGAGGAGGTAAGAAGACTCGGAAACAGAGGTGATCTGTGCAAAAACACTGTTCAATTTCAACCTTTTGAATCAAGTAATTGGGCTGATTCAAACATTCTCACTTTATTTGTTTTAAAAGACACACCAAGTTATATAATACAATATAATATAATTTGTATTATATTACATTATAAATGCAATTCAATTAGTAGACAATACATGTTTATATATTGGACTTAGCGGCGATTGAACCCGAGAAAAACGGCCAGTCCCTACATTCCTACGCGGTGGCGCCATCGTCCGTCACTGAAACTAACTGCAGCCATGTCTGGCTCTCGATTCAACTCGATTAAAAAAGCGTTAAGTCTGAGGTACAATTGGTCTGAACGCGTTTAAGGGCTACAATATATGATATTATTATATTATTATTACATGAAGAAATGCGTTTAAATAGGTACATCATCTTAAAGAGATTTAGCCTCAGTGCGCAACACTGTCCACTGGGTCTTCAGTCAGAAAAATAATCAGTTAAAATAATTAAAATTAAAAAAAAAAACACTGCTTTTTGGAGCAATTTGTTTTAAGAGTGGGTTTAAGGAACAAAACAACTTCATTATGAACCGCAGCCGTTTCATTAGTATGATAAGTTGTGTGTAATTTTGATTTGTATCTTGACTTTGATTGTTTAATAATAAACAGAGGAGATTGCGTATCATGCCAATGATTTCCCTTTGGACCAAAACTGGTGCTTAAAATGAGTAGTTCTCCTGAGCACTCATCAAGTCCCTTATTCTCTTTGTAAAAACAAAACGCAGTACAGAAGACTGAGAAGAATCTTTTTTTTTTCCCCCACCAAGGAACAATGATTAAATTGATACAAATAATTAATACAGAGGGGAATTATGAAATGGCTTTGAAAACAAGTGGATCATCATCACAAGAAAAGCTTTGTTTATTCCAAGTCTGATTTAATGAGCTTTTCGACATAATTGGCAAGAAGTCAAAGTGAAAAAGAAAAAGAAAGTAGGGAGTGAGGAAGCTGAGGCAAAGAAAACGCATTCACCTTACCACCAGAAATTGATCATTACCTTTTATTTTATGAAATCATGAGTTTATCTAGAATGGGCATAAATGATAAATACACAAAGATAATACCCGTTTAAAGTATGTTTCTGGAGAATTCTTTTATTTTTACATATATTAAATATGCTAATGGCCATTGTAATAAAATGACATTTAAAGTACTCTTTCTTTTCTTTCTTTATATGTGTTTTACACAAATATACATATAGATCTGGGGTCACCAACCTTTCTGAAACTGAGAGCTACTTCAAGGGCACTTTGTAATACAGAGAGCTACTTGTATAGACAGATACATACATAGATAGATAGATAGATAGATAGATAGATAGATAGATAGATAGATAGATGATAGATAGATGGATGGATGGATGGATGGATGGATGGATGGAT